CGGGAAAATTTTCTCAAATTTTTCCGGAAAATGTGCCCCTCAGAAAATCGTTCCGAAAAGCGGAATTTTACGGAAAATTCTGGCTTTGGGAACGATTTTCCAAGAAAATTTAAATTCCGGCTATCGGAGAGTTCCGGGTTTGAGGGATTCCGGCTAACGGAGATATTACAGTAGTTTTTTCTTGTCAACATAGTCCTTTCTCACTCCTTTAGTTCTCATGCATATAATTTTTTGCCTGCTTGTATTATTTCTTATACAGACAGTCCCTGACTTATGATGGGGTTAGGGATCCAAATCCAGGTCATAAGTCGAAAATGCGAAAATAATAACTGTATTGTACATAGAAAATGTAAAATGGGTGTCTCTTTTTCTTTTCAGCACCACAAAACTCTCACTTTTAAGCTTGCCAGCCACTTTAAAGGGAATTACAAACAAAAAATTTTGTCAGAATACAGCACAATCACTAACGTTGGGACTCGAAAATTAGTAATTTGAAAAAATTTTGGTACGATTGAGGTGGTCGTATGTCCGGGTGGTCATAAGTCGAGGAGTACATACATGTAGTTTTTTGTTTATCCAAATATTCCCTTTTGATTTATTATTTGTTCTCACCACTTCTTTTTATTCACATAGAGCCATGAGATGTATATCCACTTTATTTGTGTATTCTTAATACTTTTCTCTGAGCATTGAATTTAAGACTTGTGAATCTACACTTGACACATCCTCCTAAACTTAGTTTGCATTTATTGCTACCTATTGTATAGAATTACTTTGGATAATCCAAAAACATCCTTCCCTCTCCCTCCCTCACTCCCACTCCCCTTAAAAAGTTTTTTCCAAAACAATAAACACCATAATGAGACAGTGCCAAATGGGGTATACTTGTAAGTGTTTGCTTCATACTGAGAGAGGCCTTGTTCAGTGGAAAAATTGTGTTGCCTTAATTACTGGACACTGCTCCCTCGCTCCCTCACTTAATGGGGTTCCATTCCCAGAAAACGTCATGTAGAGTGAACCCATTGCAACAAGGGGAGATAAAGGATGCATCAGGTGGACCCCAAAAAGTCCCCCATCCCCTCCACACACACCAAAAATACTCCAAAACCAAAGTTCAAATACATCGTACAGCTCTAAAGTAGCTCACTAATAAACATACATCTACCAAATTCACTTAAACATGATGTTGTGGAGACACTGGTGTGTCCATGAAATCAGTTCCTCAAAGTTTAACACTGCGGCCATTTGCAGACACTGGCTGAGTCATGCATGGGCTCCCTCAAACCTCACCATAGCAACCCGGCCCAGCTGGAGACTTCCCTTAGCAACGCACCACCTCCCACTGGCACACGAAGCAATGTTTAATCAATTTATGTTTTTAATCTAATGATAATTTTTTTTTCTGCACATTTTGTATGTAGGATTGTGCATACATGTAACTGAATAAAAAATTAGAAGAAAGTTACAAGTTGAAAAATAACCATAACATAACTCCCGCTAAATCTCGCTGCTGCACAAAGAAAGGTTTACATTCATTTTATATTTTTGACCCAATGATGATGATTTTTTTCACATTCTGTATGTAGGATTGTGTGTACATGTAACTGAATAGAAAAAATGTGAAGAACTTTTAAGTTGATCTACCCAAAATTACGACTACGTATAATCTTCTCTGCATTCCTCTCGATTGATTTGATCACGGGAAAACCACTCTGACAGAGTGGGCAGATTGGCCTCTCTCTAGTCATAAGAACGTCTAACTTAGACATGATGAATATGCATTTTAATAAGAATAATAAATATACAGCAGGTCCCTGACAGACAAACGTCCAACTTACAAATGCCCGCCGATACAAACGGTAATAAACTTGAAATTTACAGTACAGTACAGGTATTTTATTTACCTGATAACTCATTTTTTACTTTTATTTACTGTATTTTGTCATTCTATTTCTTTTTTTGTCTTAAATTAAGTGATTTAGTTGTACTCGTGTATAAGGACTTAGGCTATGATATACTGTAGTGGGATTTTAAACATTGTTCTGTAAGTACGGTATGCACATAGCATGTGTCTCGACTTATGTACAAATCTGACTTAAAAATGTCCTCAGGAACGGAACTCGTTTGTAACCTGGGGACCCCCTGTATTGTACTCAAATATGAAGGGTATGAAGAATGATGGTGGTGTAACATGTTGGTTGGATGTTAACATCTGACATAAGTGGTTGATTGGCCTTGTTGTAGTCATAGAAGAATGTCTAATTTACTCTCTAGGGTAAACTTGGTCCTACTCTTCTTTGCTAGAGTGTCTCTAGGCAGAGGGGCACTTAGTGAATGTTTAGGTGGAGCCATGGTGACGAAAACAGGCAGAAAACTGAAGTTAATCCAAGCGAAGTTTTTGGTTGTGGCTGGACTGAGTACTAGTTAACTGTGAGCCTATGGGGCATTAGAATTCTATCCATGGACTGTAATGGACTCGTCCGCTGGCCTGCGCAAAACTTTTTTATACTTGACCATGTTCAGCCAAATTTTCTCGTGTTAGCCTGGGACAACCCACATTCGAGCAAATCTTAGCCCCGTGTTAAGCGAGACCGGGTCGTAATAAAAAACGTGTTCAAGGAAAACCGTGTTGAACAAATCTATATTAAATGAGGGAGGAAAGTATATAATGAGATTGTTGTACAGGGTGTACAGTACAGTACTGTATAGCATTTTTTGATTGGTTCAAGTCATCCTTGTAATATTAGGCTGCAGGAAAAGGACACTAGAAGGAGGATGCTCTTCTGATTATAATCACAGATATAATACCAAGGTGTCTGATAGAAGTTTCCGAGTTAAGTACAGTAGAACGTCGATATAACGTGAGCTATGTTCCAAGAGAGGTCGCTTTAAACCGAATTCGTACTAAATCGAAGTGTTGTTTCAATGGAATAATTTAGTTTGGTACTTGAGATGCACCTCAGCCCATCTCCTAGAATAAACAAAACATTGTTTTTTGTAGTATTATGTTAAAACAAACACTCATAAATCAACACAGCTAAAATTAAGGGATGCGAAATGGTCTGTTTACTGACTGGGAAAATGGGGAAGGGTGAGGTGATATGTTTGACAGTTGATGCCAAGGTTTATTGCTTATTTATTTATCTGTCCTTAAGAGTGACTTTAAATTTTTCTTTTATAAAATGCCACTGAACTGACCTGGGAGAATATAATTAACATTGGTGGAATTCTTATAAGATAGTGATTGGTTTGAATATATACATGCTATAGTTCGCATTAGACATACAAATTTTAGTTTTAATTAATTTTATTACAAAGGGCTAAAATTTTTATCTCGTGCAAAATATATGACGTTTATATTCAAATTATTCGCTGTCTTGCAAGGATTCCAGCAATGCAAATTATATTCTCCTAACTTTAGTCTGTGATATTATATAAGATAAAAACTGTAAGCCTATAACCACCCAACCCTGGCTGGGAGGAGGGGGGTGACAGTGACACGTTTGACAGTTGGGGCCGAAGGTCTAGTGAAGTATTTATTTGTTTATTTATGTCCTTTAGATTGAGTTTTTGTTTTTTGCTTATAGAATGTCACAGAAGTGACAGGGGTGAATATAATTTACAATGCTGGAATTCTTATAAGATAGTGATTAATTTGAATACATATTCATGCTATAGTTTGCACTTGACAAAAATTTTAGTAATCGTTTAGTACATTATTTTGAGTACATGTACAGTACAGCTTTGCCCTTAGGACAGTGTAGCGTGCCCGGAGAAAAATTAGGCGCAAATTTTAAAATATAATGCACCAGATTGACTCGCGCAAAATAGGAAAGATTCTCTTTAAATTAAAACATTGTCCTTAATTGTGGATGTCGCTTTAAATCAATAATCTTAAATTGAATCACAACAGCAGATGTTCAAATTTCCATCCAGTCTTGATTGTGTTTAAGGAAATATAAAAATTATACATTCTTGCATATTCATGAATGATATGAGAACATGGCATCAAGTGATGGTAAAGTGGTAAGAGTGAGTGGATAACAACAAGTGGAGAGAGAAATTTTTTTGTTTTTATTTCTGTGATGATGTAAGTGTAAAAAAAAAAGCGAATAGGGAAATGCCAATGTTCAGAAGCTTACCACCACTTTATGGTGATGGTCAGTACTGTACGTAGAAATTTTATCACAAACATGAAGAATATAAAAATGTACCATTATTTTAAAGGTTATGAGAAATTGATCTTCTTAAACAACTCTACATAATCTTGCAGATTTACTTATTTGTACACAAAATTGTCAAGGCCTTCAATAAAATCAATATGTGTTGTTAAGAACAGGCAGCTTTGATTGAAGTATTTTTACAGATATGGTTGTTGTCAGTTTCTCCCCAAACTTTCAACTTTTCCATTTGGATTACTGGCAGCTTTATTTCTTGAGTGCCCTATTCTTTTTGTATATATAGTAGTTTGTTTCATATGGCAGCTGTTTCACTTGTTACTGACAGACCAAAATTTATTTTTATTATTATTTTTTTTATTACATGTGACTAAAGAAGTTAATCCATTTTCAGTATTTGGAATTACTGTACATATACCATTAAAAGGAAAAGAATATATTAGAAACTTTATTGATTTTATGAGTATTGTATGTAATGGGTGATGTGGTAGAATAACATTATCAAGGAGAGAAATATGTTTTCAGCAGCTTTACAATCTCAGATCAGGTTTTAGAATTCCATTAGTGTTAAAGGAGCAGTGTAAGCCAACCCACTCAAGTGTGGAAAATGGCACTAAAATGGTGGTGGTGGTGATAATAAAGAAGGTTGTAAGCCATTCTAGTTATATTTTCATAATGGTATGAGATTTGGGCTTTGAAATTTAATCACTAAATAACTTTAGTTAGATCCAAATCAGTATATTTTATGTTTTGTTACCACATTTATGATGTTATTTGATGATTATTTTTATTCTTCTTGATACCTTCAATTTGGCCACTTAGGTATTCCCTACGTATAGTAAAATTCGACGACACATTCGGTCATACCATGCAGTCATGCCACATACCTGTTCCATCTGCAGTAAAGAGATGCCTTCGATTGACAAGCTAAAGATTCACATGCTAAGGTAAGTAGAATTCCCCCCCAAATTTTGAGATGTATATTCATGGATGAGATTGACACCATACTACTTGAAAGTAATTTTAGACAAGCAGAAGTTATGCTAAAAGGTATTACAGCAGGGCTTTGCCATTCACACCCATACCCTTTGCAGATTAGTGCATTCATGATGATTATTTATGGGCTTGGGTGAGAGAAAATATAAGAAGTCAACCATGAGTTGGGCATGAAATTATCAAATGCCCACCCCTCCCCATCACACACAGATACACGTACACTGAGTAGTTTAACTATTTTTTTTTTTTATTCTTTGAAATTATTTAACATATGAATGTTCCTGTGACAGGGTATTGACTGAGCTAAATTATTGTCATGAAGCACTACATACAAGAACTGATGCTAAAAGTACTGTACAGGTACAGTCATAGACAAGAGTTCTCCCCGCAGTGAAGCCGAGTCACTGGAATGAGTCTCCGAACTGACTTACCGTGACTGTTGTATCATGTTTGGGGTCGATGCTGCTTCATTTTGGGAGGGAGCAAAATTCTGAGCCCAATTGTACCCGTATATCTATAGTAAATCATGATTCGCCTTCATCAGCGTAGTACGTAATTGATCATGATTCGGAATTTGCTGTATTTTGACAAAGATAGAGCCGCTATTACCTGGAGGTAATACTGTACTCCAGCAATTACACCTGCCACAGTATATGCAACATCAGTTTTATTTTAGTGATTACCCACATCTTTGTGTTCATTTAAATGTCTGTTTATGTACAGTAAACCCACTCTTAATTCACCCGCTTAATCCAGATTCTCTTGCAAACCGGACTGGGGTCCAACACCAAACACTTTTGCTGTATCCCCAACCCAGAAAAACACAACCAAAATCCGGTTAGTATGGGGGAAAGTTTGCGTAAGCGGGGCTGCCACCGTGGTGGAAGTGGTTGCTGAGAAGCACTAAAGTGAAGTGGCTAAGAAATATGAATAGTGTACAGTATATAGAGGTATAGTCAATGAAATTGCCAGTGAAAACATAACCTCTGGCATACATTGTGAGTGCCATACAATCACCTGTCTGAACCACCTCATCACCTCAAGACTCAACTGCCTCATGATAATTTAATAATTAATAAGTACAGTATTAGCATGTATTAACAGTAAATCATGACAGGCACAGAGTGGGGGTGTGGGATCACATGGGTCTGTTTGGGTCTGGCCATGTAGAGATCATGCGGGTTCAGCTTGACCCCATAGCCTCACGACATAGAAAACCTGTGAAAATAAATTTTTTCTTGCATTCCTATTTTCTACTTAACCCTCTCATTGATCTTCCAACACAAATCGAATTTCTAAGCATTCCCATGCTGGCATGACTCTGTCCCCTTCCGCTTGACTGTATCTCACACTGAGAGAACCCCTCCCATAAGCAGAAATGTGGGAATAGTGGACCAGCCCTATAAACCACCCAAGTTTCTCCCACTAGCCTCATGGGTTGGCAGAGATATCTCTTGAGCGTATAATTTGGGTCTGGATCATGTTACCCAATGTTTGCTAAAATGGAAAAAAACTTTATTTTACTGACATAACCTGCATTGAAAGACTGTGAGGGGATGAGATTTCCAACCATGGCCAGGAGTACCAGAGGGTTAATCAAATTTTACATGTTGAACTTGTATTTGTCGTTGCAACTGTATAACATTTTATTTTGGGAAATTGAGTTCGGAGTTCCGAGTGAATGACTTGCGTATAAAAATTTGGAACGCATTTTTTTTTTAATCTTTTTTTTTTCAGGAAAATATATTTTAAGTTCTTACTAATTTTTTCTCAGGAAAATAAATAGCACAAAAACAGTGCTTATACTTGTTAAATAAGGGAACAATTTGTCAAAAGAGGGTGTCAAATTTTATAGTTGAAGTTTCCAACCCTTTTCCCTCATTACCCCCACTTTGTGGAATTGTGGTTCTTCAGGATTTTCAAGAATGCAACCCCTATGAATGGCAAGACCCTGCTGTATGTACATAATAGAATTAGTTTAATTTGTATGCTATAATTTTGTTTCTGATAAAAAATAACTACCAGTAGTGATAACCTGCCTAAGCACACATTAGTCTTCTTTTCTTTTTTCCAATCAATAAGTGCTTGAAATTTTATAAATGTCACAGCTAAAAAGATAGACTGGACATATTGACCAATATTAACTGAAGAATAAAAAGGATTGTATAGTTAAAATATCCAAGAAGAGTGATTGAGTTTATGTTTCTTTAAAGTTTGTTCCGATAGAATTTTTATTTTTATATTAATATAGTTTGACAAGAATCTATTGAACATTATTACTCTGTAGTATGTACAATAAGATATTGATGGGAACTTAAATTTGGTCAATAATCAATTTATGTAGTGGATGAGTATGTATGGTTTATTTATTTGTTTCTTAATTCTGGAATAAGTTATTTTGTCTGTAGTCCACTGAATGGTTGGTTTTCTTTCCTCTTTATATTTTAATGTTCTGAAAACTTGAAGTCTATTTTGTTTTGTCTTTCTTTTAGTTTCTTTTGTGTGGCAGGAGGAACAGTAGACTTTTGAGACTTATTATAATATAATTTCTGTGCCTTCATATTTTGATGTATAATAATGTTCCAGCCATTCTGATCGGCGTGACTTCCTCTGTCCAGACTGTGGAAAGAGGTTTAAACGAAAAGACAAGCTTCGTGAACACTCAAAGCGCATGCATTCAACTGAACGTGAAGCCCGAACCTCAAAATCTGTTGCTAAAGCCCCACCCAAGTTTGTCCCTAAGGTGCAGTGGAAGTAATTATGTCTTGTACAGTATTATCCAGATAACTTAACATGTAAGGAGTTAGACAAGCATTAAGGAAAGCAGCAGGTATTCCTATTTCAGAAAAATATGTGGTTTTTCTCACTGCATTAATACTTCAGTTTATTTATATTTTTATGTCACCTTATGTGGTGCTGTAATTATTCCTCACATATTGACTATTTATTTTGAAGAAAGGTTTTATGGCTAGTCACCCCACTTTAGGTGGCTGATATGATGTACTTATTAAGCCATTTCGTTACATCCAGGAGATCGAACATTAGTGCCTGGGGCTAAACTTAAAATTGGTTTGTCCATCCCTTTCTACAACCATTGCCCTGAAAGGAAGAGTAAAAGCCAAGCATATGACAACATTTCAGCAAGTGTGCACCTTACATTTTGTCTCATTTTGGCTACAAATTATTTTCAACAGTCAACTCATCGATTCCTAGCCTCACCAGCACATTGAGCAGGTAGTTCCACTGCTCATTCTTTATTCCTGTAAATAAATGATTCAGCTCATTGCTTGTTCAGTGGGAAAAATGACAGTGCTGACGTGCATTAACCAACTGTTGTGTCTGTAGTTGAGTACTGCTCCAAGGTGGTCATCAGTTATTACAGATTTAATACTTGATATGTTCTGAGTTTTTACAGAAATTTCTGCTCATATATGTATGTTGATCTGAATAACACTAAAATCCTTTGAACACAAGCCTTTAGCTTTGAAAATAGTGTTCACAATTACTGTACAGTATTAGGAGAGACAGAAACAAGGAAATATCATTGACTTGAGCTGCTTAACCCTTTTGATGCAATTGCTGTAGTATATACGATAAACAACGCCAGTGGAACCACTACACCATATGCTGTAATAATTTACCTGCCCATACAGTAAAACCCCTATAATTCAGAATAATAGAGGCTCTCGTCCTTATAAATTTTTAGACTGGAATATGAGGGACACCTTCAAAGGGGAAAAAAAAAAAGAATCAAAACAATGCCACTTCTCCGTTATTTGCCCCAATAATATTTTTTTAAATTCTATGTACAGTACCATATTTAGGGTTATCAGACATGATAGCTCAAACACTGGTCAATGATGCAAAAACAAGTGGAAAAAGCTTGCATGTTAGACCATAAATGCATACTCCACGACTGACCAATATGAACTGACCCTGACCGACAGGGGTGACTTGTAAACTTGTTTACACTGAGGCAGCAGTTGCAACCCAATGGCAACATGTGTGTCATATATGAGGAGCTCAGGACCATAATCTGCTATATTCCAAAATAGAAAATGCTCACGTAGGAATGTGTGACATACGATAGTCTTTTCAGAGGACTCTCACCCACATAAACATGTTCCCAATTGGCTCTCTGACTTACCCACTGGACAAAGGAGAGGTTGGGGAATACAATACAATACACAAGACGTTTCAGCGATCTATGGCTCCTTGCAGGTTATGGTCCGTAGCTCCCCATATATCCCTAAATGTCTCTCATCACCTGAAATTTTACCAAATTTTACAAGCAAATCTTTACAAATTGTGAGTAATTTTGAATTAGAGGGGTTTTACTGTACTTTGAATATTATTGCCAGATAGACTCATCTTGTTCAATCAGCTGGCATGTAGGGAGGTGACCACAAGGCCCACGACCCATAAATTTTCTCAAGGTCTGCCACTTTATTTCAAAATATCTCTCTCTACATCATATGGCACAACTTTGGAAGGTCAAATATTTTTTTTAATTTTAAAAGATTTTCAACTTACTACACACTGGGGGTTCAGCTGTCTACTCAAGATTCATATAAAAAAGGGTTGAAAAATAATGGGCTAGAGGTATTTAACTTTCAATCTTCCTGCATAATACCGACATTCAGACTTCCATCTCTGAAGCTAACTACATCAGGTTGCTCCTCTTTCATCTTACACAACACAGGTTTTTTTTTGGGGGGGGGGGGTGAGGGGAATGTAAAGTGTGTAGGTAATATATGTGTAACAAGTTGGTTTGTATAAAACTGGATCATTTGCAAAGCCCCAGATTATGAATAGTAATGACCGACTGTACATCACACAGATGCAGACAGCAAATACATATGATACCATACTGTACTTTCTAATACTGTATTGTACCTCCATCATTATAAAATTGTTAAGAATTTTTGCATGAAGAATTGCAAAGTAACTTACCATACGTGAGTGAAAGCAATAGTAACAACCTTAGGGTTTACTGTGTAAGCTAATGGTAGGTAGTACTAGTATGATACTGTTCATGTTCATTTTTACATATTTGGTTCATCAGTGAACTACATATATTTTATTCAGGTTCATGACATACAATATGGCTATCCAAAATACTTTTATCATTATATATCTTTTAAATAGTATTTTAGTAACAAGACTAGTTGAGAAGAGCCTGGTTTCGTTGAGCTTAGTTAATATGTACTTTTTTCCTAGGTTGATCCAACGGATTATAAACAGTTTGTGTACAAGTGCCACACATGCCTCCTTGGTTTCAAAAGGCGAGGAATGTTGGTGAACCATTTAGCCAAGCGCCATCCCAGTGTGGACCTGACAAGTGTACCTGAACTTAATCAGCCCATTCTCAAGGCTACGCGATGTTATTACTGCCAGTACTGTGAAAAAGTAAGGGTAATAGATTCTATATGCAAGTCTCACTTAATCATGTGGAAATTAGAAACCTTTAAATGGAGTTAGGTTTTCACATCATTAGAAGCAAAGATATAATTTCTGTAAGAGATTGATGATTGCTTACATTATTAGATATTAAATTTTTTTTTATTACTGTGTCACTCTTTTAGATGTATCGCAGCAGCAGTAAGCGCAAGTTGCACATCTTAAAATACCACCCTGGAGCAGAACTTCCACCGCCTTCCACAACGCACAATGAGAGTGAAAGTGGTGAAGGACCATCTTTTTCCCAAACTGTTGGTGCCACTACCACATATCCTCATCCATGTAAATGGTGCTATCGTCAGTATGCCTCACGGGCACGACTCCTGCGTCATCAACGCCACCAACATCCAGATCTTTGTACTGATAGTGCTTCACTCAAGGATTATGCTGCAGATGTTCCTGAATCAGAAGTGAATGATGTTGATCCTTTGCTAGAGAGTCCTGCGGGGTTGTCTGGAGAGCTTGCATTAGGAGGTCAACTGGTAGCAGATGGCAACCTTCTGCGTAACCACCGCTTGGTGAGCTTAGCACGTGGAGAGCCTGGTACTTCAGGAACAGAGGGCACTGAAGATGACTTACTAACTCAGGCAATGGGGGAGATTACACCACTAGCAGGTGGAGAACAATATGTACGTTTAATAGGCACTGGAACAGAGGGTCAACAAGTGGTAGTGGGAACAACACAGGCAGCTCGTCCCTTGTTGGTAAGCAGTGATGGAGGACAGCAGGGTGCTACATTAGCATTAGTGACAACTGACAGTCCTGACACAGTCACCCTCTCTCTTCCAGCTGGCCAGTTTATATCTTTGATTCCAGGATTTTCAGCAGTATCTACAACCTCCAGGTCAATAACAAATGGTGCAGGACCAGTTAACATCCACACTGTCGATGCACAGGAAGGGGTAGGATCCAGTGGGGCGCTTCAGGGAGAGGGTGTATCAACCATGAGAATGTCATCCACATTAAATTCTTCTTTAAATGATAATAATGAAGCAGAGGCTGTTGAGCAAGTTGTGTTAGCAACCCACCAGCCTCCATCACCATCTAGTTCAGTGTGGCAACAAGCACTTACCTTTGCCAGTTCTCAGACATGAATAGTATTGCTCTAATACTGTACAATTAACTTATGTTCATACAAGTTTTTTCTTTCACATTGGGGTAGGACTGGAATAAATATGACATGAAATATACTGTATTGAATTTGTTTATGTATATAAATCAACTGCCTTAGAAAGTTTTATATCTAGAAAGGGGAAACTCTAGTCATAAGTAATTTAAAATCTAATCATATTCAACCTTGTGTAAAATATTTTATTGCAATCTATCTAGTCTTTCATCTAATTAAATAAACTTGAAATTCACATTACTGATAATTAACTCTTGACAAGGACATTTTATGACTGAATCTAAACCCGGTGACTCATATTTTGCCCATTAAGTCTGCAGGTTTAAGACCCAGGAAATCCTCAGACAATAGTGCCTGGGACTAAAACACTAAGTAGTTATGCCATTCTTATCTTAACCAAACCCTTAAAATGGGATCTTTCGAATCAACTTGCCATTTAAAGCTTAATGGTAAAAGACTATATGGGTTGTGAAGTTACAGCCTGCAAGCAAATTTGCATGGCTTTGCCACAAACTATCAGTCCAGGCATCGGTTTTTAATTCCAGCCCACTTCTTCATTACCTTTTGGGAGAAGGAAGGGTGGTGGAGTTTTTTTTAGTCCAAGCTTGGCCATATCTGAAACCAGCTAGACAAATGGGAGAAAGTGGCATTATATGTGTTCTTAAGTGTTAATGTGACATGTGCCTCACTAGAGAAGTTAACTCTGTATCCATAGTCAGGCACACTGCCATTAATTGTAGAAACTTCCCATCTCTAGACAGTGCATCAGTGAGGTTCTTTATTGAGACAAGAGCTAACAAAAGGTTTAGGCAAAGGCCAGGTGCTTCTTTGTAGGATGGACTTAATGGAATGCCATCAATGATATAATGCTCCAGAGGTAATGAACCTTGAGTTTCCAGCCTAGTTAATTTAATATCTTGATAATTGCCATAAATTTATAAACTTTAGAAGCTCCATGAAAAAACAAGACAGAGAATAATGAGAACCAATTATAACGGAGAAAAAAAAAACAGACCTCTCTCTGAGGCATGAACCTATGAATTCCTTTTCTCTGATATTATAAGTAAATAAAATAACCCTCAGTAAAGCCAATTATAACTCTTCCATTATAAAGTTCCCAATACTGGTATTTCCAAAGCTAGGGTTAACATATCTATGATATATATGAAAAAGTCAGGAATTTTTTATAACTAGCCAGGGGTCGGCTTTCCCTTCCATTTCAAACTATTGCCCTTAGACTTTTGAACCTCTGTCAGACTTGGACTACTCTTCCTATCTCAGACCTAATTGCCCTTGGATCTCGGACCCAGGTTGGACTCCAGCCTTATCAGAAATTAGTCTTCTTGGACTGCCCTTTTCCCCAATTAGTCCAAGTTGGCAAGATGTTACTGTACATGCATATATCCATGTTACAAGAGAAACAAGCACACAACTTTTTATGGCTAAGAGTAGTTCACCCCTTGTTGATGTGGTCACCTCTTTGCCAAATAAAATTGTTTGGCATTAGCCAAATAAATTAAAAGTGGTATCCTCATAGTGAAGGGGTTAAAGAATACAGAAATTGCATTCTTTGGGTGCTTTACCTCATACTCAGGGCTGTGGCACAGCCCTGAGTATTAGTTGCTGCATGTGAGTGATAACACTGATAAAGGTTTGTAATTTAATTTATTGCTATTGTTGAGTGACCTAGCCCAGTTCAAATTGGCTATTAAACCCATTGAAGGTTTTCACTGTGTTCAACTATAAAACATGGAAGAACACACAATAACAACTCTGAGAAAATTGTGTGTAGGTCCACTTACACCTGAGGTGGTAAAGCTAATGTATCCCCTAAACCATTATCAAAAAGACATCTTGTACAGGTAATACTATTTCTGATCCCACCTAGGAATTTTTTTTAAAACTCCAGGCCAGGTTAAAAATTATTCTTAGAAGACAGACAGAGCTACTCACTTGACTGTGATATAAAATTTTCTCCATGACACATTGTGGGTTGAGGTAGCCCCACTAACTGACATGACATTTCAGTTGGATTAATAACAATTTCGAACAACTCTTGCATTATGGAAACAACAATGGCAATAATCATCTTACTATCGTACCAATGTTTACTCTATGGTCATGGTAAATTTACTGTGTACTAAGAAAACGAGGCAAGTTGTCCTTTATTCCGTCTGTAGATATCGCCAAGCAGGAAAGACATCTGTTCAGGTAGCCATAGTAGGCAAAGCAAAAGTTTGAAGACAACAGGGACTATTTGTGATGCAATAGGTGCTGTAATGTGCGCACAGGCTGGTGTGATATTACATGATATAACTTGTGTATAAAGATCTCCTTTTAAGGTCTTGGTTATGACTATAGTAGTGCGTTTTTTCTCAGCTGAGAAAAGATGCCCCGCCCCCTCCTCAAGAGTTACAGCTGATTGGCTGTTGCAAATCTGTTCGATTTCGTCCTGAAGTAATGATGTTTTTCTTTTCTTAGTGAGTTTATTCATAATCGTTGGGATGACCGTTTTTGACGTGAAAGATATTTAGCTAAATTATATAAAGATACATACATTCATTATTTCAAACATAAGCATGTAGGAAGTTTATCAGAAGTATTATACGTGAATTAACTGATAAACTCGGGTAGCAAATTCATGCTTTCGGAGGATGCATTTAATATATATTTATTTTTACCCACAATAGGGCATACTAAGACAAATTACATATCAGTAAAACTACATTATGCAAAAACTAACATTTTAAAAGATCAGAATCACATTGAAACATTACACGGCCCCTGAAAATTGGTGGATGAGTGTGACAGACTTGGTCGCTCGAGCGAACAGCTGTCAGCAGAGGCGGGAAATATAACTGTGAACAACTTCATATTTCAGTGATTCTGAAATACAGCTCCTCCCCGACTTACGACCTACTCAACTTACAACCACCCGCACTTACGACTTGCCTCAGTTGTACAAAAATTTTGTCAAATTACGTATTTTTGAGTCCCAACGTCAGTACTTAGACAAAATTTTCTATTGTAATTCACTTTAAAATGGCCGGCAAGCTTAAAAGTGAGAGTTTTGTGGTGCTGAGAAGAAAAAGAGACCCCATTTTAGATTTTCTATGTATTATTTAAGCATTTTCGACTTACGACCATTTCGACTTACGACCATTTCGACTTACGACCTGGATTTGGGTTCCTAACCCCGTCGTAAGTCGGGGAGTATATGTATGTGTGTATATGTATATATATATATATATATATATATATATATATATATATATATATATATATATATATATATATATATATATATATATATATATATATATATATATATATATATATATATCATGTAGATCCACAATGAAAACGTGGATAAGATAAATCTTGATAAAATCACACGGGAAAAGGAAAACAATGGAGCACCTTAGCTTTCGTCTTGAATAAAGACGAAAGCTAAGGTGCTCCATTGTTTCCCTTTTCCCGTGTGATTTTACAAAAAAAAAATGTATATATATATATACAGTCGACCCTTGTTAATTGGGACTAATAGGGGGGGAAGGGTGTCCGTTTTAGCCGATTGTCCGAATTAACCGATTTATGGGTTAATATTGCATTATATTTCAAAGTCATAGTTTTCATCATGATTTTATCCCACTTTCCACTGTAATACGTACGTAATTTCAGCAAAAATATTACATTATTGTGAATGTATTATATCAAGCACAGTATGAATAGAATACCATTGTAATATAACAGTATTTTAACCAAAAACTATTAAAAAAACGAGTAACTTCTCTTGAACATCGGAAGGTTAGGTAAAATCTTTTGTTTTCGTCATGTATTTTATCCTATTTTACATTAAAATACATCACGTTTCAGCAAGACTACTATTTATTTCCGAGAATATATTCATTCAGGCGCAGTTTAGGTAAAATATACATGTAATGTAACAGTTTTTTAACTGAACACGATTCGAAAAATCCGTACCCTCTAGCCCTCCTCAAGGAGAGGACTGGGAGAAGCTGTTTGGTGCTGCAGACGATGACAATGAAAATGATGTGGATGGATTTTAATGAAAATATTCAGAAATATGGTATCGTAGTATTTATTCAAGTCAATTAGGATAGAATATTATTGTAATACAACAATTTTTTAACTGAAAACCAATCGAAAAGCGATTACAGTAACATCTTTTGAACGAAAGAACGCGAAAGTCAACTGAAAACCAATCGAAAAGCGATTACAGTAACATCTTTTGAACGAAAGAACGCGAAAGTCATTGTTTTTGTCACGATTTTATCCCACTTTCCACTGTAATACGTACGTCATTTCAGCAAAAATATTACATTTCCGTGAATGCATTATATCAAGCACAGTATGAATAGAATACCATTGTAATATAACGGTATTTTAACCAAAAACTATTAAAAAAACGAGCAACTTCTCTTGAGAATCGGAAGGTTAGGAAAAATCTTTTGTTTTCGTCATGTATTTTATCCTATTTTACATTAAAATACATCACGTTTCAGCAAGACTACTATTTATTTCCGAGAATATATTCATTCAGGCACAGTTAAGGTAAAATATACATGTGATGTAACAGTTTTTAACTGAAAACGATTCAAAAAACACGTGTACCGTCTAGCTGATACAGCTGGTGGTGCGTGATGCGTCGTTGTAAACAATAGGTTGAAGTAGATTACCAGGTATTATATTAAGTGTGAAATATCGAAAAGGTTTATATTACCGGTATTTTTTGTGGATCAATGAGAACTGTGATACCGTATATGATATGATAAGTTAGCCTGTGCTAAGAACTTCAACATAGACTACTGAAAACACGTTGTAAGGTAATTTAGCCTATTGTAAGTTGGTGAGCATTTGCTGAAGGAACTGCACAACTTTTCATTACTAATTGGTACATATTTTACGTTTCCATTGTTTACTGGCAGTAAACGGTAAATATTTTTCATGTCTGAAGCTAAAAGTTGCTCCTCGCCCTTCCCATCATGCACGGGTTCAACCTAACAAAACTATTACGCATGTATAGGACGACCCCCAATTTTTTGCCTAAAAATTTGGTCTTAAAAACTCGAACTATACACGAGTATATACGGTATATATATATATATATATATATTTATATATATATATATATATATATATATATATATATATATATATATATATATAATATATATATATATATATATATATATATATATATATTTTATATATAT